CGACAGCATCACCAAGTGAAAACATAAATCTGGTGACACCGTATGAGGTTCATTTAGGCAAAAGGAGCTCACTCGCATGCGAATGTTAGTTCAATGATAATAGTAGCGGCAGTGCTGGAACATTGAACAATGACATGTGAAGGTTATTTAAATTTCGATGAACGTGGCAGTTCATCTTTTTTAGTGGAGGGAGGTGAGCAACATAACAAAATTTAAAACAAAGCGAAGCATACTTTTAAAGCTGAATTCAAGGCGAATTTGATGATGGTCAAATGAGGGCTTCAGCTATTCACACAAAAAACTAGATAGGTTTATAAAATGAAGCCCTCATTTGACCATCATCAAATTCGCCTTGAATTCAGCTTTAAAAGTATGCTTCGCTTTGTTTTAAATTTTGTTATGTTGCTCAGAAAATTCATTTTTTTGTAAACCTGTGGCGAAAAGTTGAAATTCTGCCTGTAATTCTCAATTTTCTTAATCAGAACTCAATTTCTATGTAATAAAAATAATATAATAAATATTCGGAATCAGGATCAAAAACTGAGTCGATTGATGTGTATCTCTACCCTATCCGAGTACCTTAATTTTTTCGACTTTTCACGTTGAAAAATCATCAAAAAGCATTAGATTCGCCAATCAATTGTACAAAATTAAATCCAACATTTGCTAAAGGTTATTATTGACAAGAAAAAGCATATATGGGTAGACGTGATTTTCCTAGAGCTAAAGTGGTATGTAAAAAAGGTTTAAAACATTGTGATGGTAATGATACCCACGAATTACAAAAATTATTCGATTTGTTTATTAAACGTCATGTATCAGAGGCAATAGCCAGTTCATTTTCAACCGAATCACAATATGTTTGCTATCATATTGAACATTGTGGTATGTCCTATTTTTTAGGTTCATATTGTTTACGACCGATATCTACGGATAGAAAACTGGATAAAGAATGGCCACATTGTGCATGTGATCCGAATGGAATTAGAATGGGTCCAAAATATACATCATGAGATTGTTAGGCTTCATCTAACTTGTTCGAATCTTCAATTGTATGTACAAATGTTTTATTCAGAACGCGAAGGCACTCCTCCAGTATACAGTATATGCTTGAGTGTAAACATATCGTGCGTAGATAGGCTTGAGATCGTTCACATGTACTTGTCTCATTGTGGTTGATGCTGGATCTAGAATTGGATGTTTGTTGGATGTTTGGCGTGTATGGTCACATGAGGACTAGAAAATCGTTCAGCGAATTTTTCGCGATGCCCGGGTACTTTCCAACTAATTTGTTAGTTCTATACTGTGGCAATGTTTTTTTTGTTGTTCGGATTAAGGAAACTGCAAAAGACCAATATTTCAGGAAATACGATTTTCCCACTGTGACCGTAATAAATTAAAAACCGTATATACTACTACGTAGCGCGAAAATTCTCGAAAAACGAATTTGAGCGCTTTTCGAGTTTTTCGATTTTCCGGCTAAGACGTACATATTCGTGATCAGCGTAAAATTCTTTACAAGATAGGCTATGTCTCGTCTCTTTTCTAGGAGTGTCACTCAAATATGTTCCATCGTCAACTTTCTGCATCTAATCATTTTTGAAACACTTGATTCTGGATTAAAAGCACTACTCGCATACTGTCTTTACTGGCAGACAGAGCAACGTAAACAACATTGATTGATTTCAAGATTAACATTAGTACGACTCCAAACTCGCAGCGAACATTAGAAAGCACACATTCGAGCAGAAACCGCTGCTCCTTGGTAAGACTAACAGAAAACCTATTCTATAAAAATAATTTCAGAGATAAAAGAAAGCTTGAAGTTTCTTCCCAGTAAAAATAAACACGTTTGAAATTGCTTATAATTGTTGAACAACAAGAAAACAATTAACACATACACAATTAAACAAGTGCTTAGGCGTTGCAGGCATTCACAACTACCTGCACAGAAACACTATCTTTTACAAAAGCCTTTTTATTTAGAACAGCGTCTTCTCAACCCTGATGTGGTCAAGATGTCCAAGCAAACTTTTACGAATCATCGATCATTTTTCAAAACACTCTGTTGCGCGATCATACTCGCCTTGTTGTCATAAGCCCGACCAATATTTTTCAGGCTAGTAGCAATATCTGAGTGACCAGATGGTAAACATCTTTCTTGAATCTTGAGAATTGAATAATAGTCCAAAGCACGATCATACTCGCATTTGCTGTAATAAATACTGCCAATATCATTAAGTCTACTAGCAATATCTGGGTGGTCAGATGGCAAACATTTTTCTCTCACCTTGAGACATTTTGAATAATAGTCCAAAGCACGATCATATACGCCTTTGCTCTTATAACCATTGCCAATATTACTCAGACTACCGGCAATATCTGCATTATAAGAGTTACATCAAGCAATTTCACCTTAGTAACACATTCAGCTTCACCATCGCCCCAAATGAGGTGTAGAGGGGAATAGACAAAGTGGGAAGTTGTCCAAAAATTAATCAACTGCATTTTTCGCAGAAAACATGAAAATATATTCATACCTTTATAAAAATTAGGAAAATTTAGTTTTTCAGGACGTTTTTTAATGACGAATGAAAGTAATTTGTGAGTTAAATTTATTTTCTGGAAACAATATTTTTTTCAGCCTTATAGCACAATTTCAACGAACTGTACATTTACAATTTATTGATCGAACGACGCTTTCTAATGTGCAAAAAGAGTATGTGGAAAGTAGAAAAGATTACTAAACGAAAACAGATAACTGGACATAGATTAGATGTGATTTTTTGAAAACTCGTTCCATATAACAAATCGGTTAGCCTATGGTAAACAGTTAGATGTGGGAAATTCTGTTTTAGCTGTTATATAAGAGTTGTGCTGTTTCTTCTTCCTGGAATCTATGAATATTAGTATGTGTAGTTGTTATTTTAGAACGTCTATAATTTCTACTGTCTCCAGGCAAAAAACAGAGAGTACTGGTACAATCAATAATAAAATCTCAATCCTGCTTATAACACGTTACCGTATCTGCGTTTGTGCTTTTTTGAGTAGAAACTTTTTGCCAGAAGGTGCCTTTTTTGCGTTGAAAGCAGATCCTAAGGACTATAAGCAATATTCTGAATTTAGTAAAAGATTTTGTACTTGAACAAAATAACAGCAGCAAGCATTACAATAATAAATAGAGTGACGCGTTTCGATTTCTTTCGAAAATTTCGTAAAGTGGTGGAAAAAGCGTATTTAATGACTGTATCTTTTCTTGTTAGAATCATCTCACAACGATAATCGTATATATCAACATGGACAACAGTTAGATCAACGATATTTACGTGTTAGTTTATCAAAATTACAAACTATGGACGATGAATTAAAAAATGGCTGAAATTGTTAGAGGAGGTACTGAATGTCAAAGCATTAAAAATACTCAATAATACCACAGACATTTTACGCAATAGTCAATTGTGTGGAATAATGAACCAACAAGTAAAACAGTTATCTTTTTCAAGTATAGTCTATTTGAGATATCGTCGTGTCAAAGAATTTTGTTCGCTTTTGCTTAATGTCGAATATCTAAGAATTAAATTTGAAAAAATAAACGATCTACAAAAATCGCTGACTACGTCCCTGGAAAGAATGACGGCATTTTAGACCGAAGACTCAAAGTTCAAAAAAACGCAGTAACGGATGAACAAAAAAATAAAGTAATGCTAACCGTACTATTCACGATCGTCACAATCACCTGCTGCTCAGCCATTCTATAATCTTGTCACTATCCTTTATGTTTCCAGGACTTGTTAAGTTCAATTTCCGTCCGATATTCGGGTACAAGATTGGCGTGCTGATCCAGTGAAAGTTGCTTCCGACATCTGGTGTCATTCCACCATACAGTGGCGGCATCCATACCTGACCGACGTTCGCCAAAGTAGACCACAGTGCAAACGATGATCCAGCAGAAATAACCAACACATAGGGGGCATAGACCAGTTTAGCAAAGTCTTGCCATAAATTACCTGGTGAAGGAATCACAACTATATCAGGGCGAACGCGACTCAGATATGTTATTTGCGCTCGCCGTAGAGCATCGCATAAGGCAGTGGTTCGCGCCTTCGCATACACCTGATATAGTACTGTCACTGCTTCTGGGATGCATCGTAACGCGCTGTAAGCGAGCTGCCCATGCTCATCATGATCAAGAATGGTGTCCACTGAGCAGCGGTCGTACACCACCATCTCAGAAGTATTGAAAACGGGTAAGCTTTGATTGTTAACTACTGCCCAATATTCCATTGCCGATCTGGTATTCTGTTGTATCTGATCTCGAATATGATTCCATGCTCCAACACATTTATGCGCATATACCATGTTGCAATCGGATCCAGGATCATTACACATACGACGGAATAGTTCAGGATAAGCCTTGACACATGAGCCCGAAGACAAAGGTGCTGCAGAAACGGGAAGGAAATCCATCCAAGAATGAGCATTCCATTGACCCGACGCAAATGAACTTCCCAACAGAAAAGCTGCGCCTCGAGCTTGCCAATAAGGGGATAATGTGTTGCCCCAATTGTCTGATACATAAACACCCCACTGGACTAGATCGTGTCTGTGAGATACGTAGATTCTACCTTGACTAAGATTATTGCATATTAGCGGCTCGGACAGCTGTGATTTGCACACGGCGTGTGCTGAAACATTAGCTTTGATGGCAGCAATCGCATTACACTTGGATCGACTTCTGGTCAGCCGGCGACTAGGAACGTGAACAAGATGAAGATGATCATGCCGCTTATATTTAGGTAGAGAGTATAGTCCCACAGAGACGAGAAGATAAGAAGCGAAGGTAATTACTGCCAACGACCTACGTACAATGGGCACTGTAAGCACAGTTTTGCCCTTAACCATCCCTCTGTTGATCTAGTGCAACAGGATCATCCAGTAGTCTATAACGTATCAATGTGTGCAAAATTCTACTTACTCCTAGCAGCAAAAAGTACTCCGATCGAACAAGGAATTTATTTTCAAATACTTCTTATCAGACGTTCAAATCAAAACAACCTAACCATTAGAAAAAAAGCTTGTTTTCGAGCTTACGTTGACACTGGAGCCGCTAGAATAACAAAGAAAAATATTAATCTCTTTATCTTTATCCTAGTAAACAAAGATTAAAAAAAACATGATGTGATAAACTGAACGTTCTTAAAAATATCTTAGCCTAATTATCGTCCGTTGCGTGAGGCGAAAGATGAAGAAATCTTATGTGAGAATGAACCGACCCGCAACTCATTATCTCACCCTCACTCTCCAGCTGCAAAATTAACTAGACTTGAATCCAATGCAAGTCAATTTGCGTTATAAAAAATCTCTCAACATTTGTCTTGTGATCATTTCCTTCCAACGACACAGCCTTACCTTCATCCGACAAAAATGCCTGCGCGTTTTTAACACACGAAAAAACCACTGGAAGTTTCTTTCTACTTTTTTCTTTCAGCATATTTTTATTCAGCATATCTTTTGCCAATGGTTTCATTTATATGATATTGACAAAATGATATCTGTTCAAAAGGCATAAATTAAATCGAAATTTTTGTCTCTAAAATCCCACTACAGCTGATTCTAGAAAGTTCTAACTGTACCTGCGGTCTGTTTCTTTGTAGTAGTAGTAGTAGCAGCAGTCCTAATCGTTATTGTTGGAGCATCAGTTGATGTAATGGTGGCTTTAGTTGTGGTCGACGACGACGAGATTGACACTGGAGCCTCTATAATAATAAAGAAAAATATTAATTTCTTTATCTTTATTCTAGTAAACAAAGATTAATAAACAATGATGTGATAAAATGATGTACGCACTTTAATCGCTGTAACGGTAGAGATTCATTTCTAGCGAACGTTTCTTCAATTCTAATTAAGAATATCACCTTTAAAAATTTTTAAAACATCAGTGTGGATTCCAAGTACGAGTAGAAAGCCTATATTTAAAAATAATTTTGAGAAGTTTTGTGCAAGATGCTTTAAAGTCTTTGTTACTCTATACTGAAATCTGCAAGTCTCTTCCGTTGTTTATTCTCGAGTTGTTGGAGAAACAATGAGCTTCCTCATAAGGTGAATTGGATGGCGGTTTTCTCGTTTCAGTTTCGGTGGAAGTTGCTGAGGGTATCAAGAATTGTTTTTTATGCTGTATCGCTATGGGCGAATTTTTTTATGGTCTATAGAGAATTAGTTTCTTGAGAAGTAATCTGATTTGCATCGAATGTAGGTCGTAGAGGTTTAATTATGCTTTAGGTTTTCCAAAACTGTACGATCTTGAAAAATCCTTTGACTATTTCAGTTTTATTGGTCTGGCGCGATGAGGCAGAGAGAAATTTTTCCAAGAAAGTGTATGTTTATGTTAAGAGATTTCTTCAGGAAATAGGATATATCATCTTGTTTTCTAGCGGCAAGTTCGATTTTGTGATTGTCCTGTTAGATTATATAAAAGAATGAAAAAAAAAAGAGTGAGTGTTAATATCGGAAAAAGTTGCAGTGAAAACTCTAAAGTTCTACGACTTTGACTAGGTCCTTACTATCAGGGAAAGGCTAATGTTCTGGGACTTAGCGAGTTTTTGGTGCCCTGTTGATCGATGATTTTGGATAAACCTGGACGAGTTTATGGGAGAACGACAAGAAGCGAACAGAGTTAAATGGATTATAGAATCACTCTTAGCTACAATATTCCTTTGGGCGTGGCAGTAGAGCAGCACCAGCTTACTTTCTACTGCAGCGCCGCACGGAAATTGAATTGGTGGGTTATGTAATTCAGATTGTGTTGTTAATGATTTTACAGCTGTTGCTCCATCAATGTTTGACGATGCTTGTACAACAGCGTTTGGAGCTAAGAGAGCACCTTGTAAGTTTTGTTGTAGATTCATTGTTGTTGCTTGTGGACAATTCCATAGTGTTTTAGCTCGCCCATTCAAATTTGTTATCCATGATCCAACAAGATTACCGTGATTAAAATTAATAGTTGTACCGTATAAATTAATTAAGACAAATTTACAATTTGCATTGTTTATATTTATTTGAATTTGCTGTACATAATTGTTAGCTAGAACAGATGGACCAGATAAATTAAATATAGCAATACTGTTACTGTCGACATTATTGATATTTAAATTCAATGGACCAGGTTGATCTGCGGGTATTGTGGCATTATTATTTGGTGTTATTTGAAATAATGAATTCGACAGAGTTTGTAGACTGGATGTGATTGCTGCACATTTCGATGGTAGGTTACTGTCAACAAAAGCTGTTGCACCTTGGTTACCACCCTTTAAATTAAATTGTAATTGATCTATTTGATATTGTGTGGTACCTTTTTTTCTTAATGTATGTGCGGAGCTTGCACCAACACTAACACTGCCCACCAGAACATTTGGACTACCGCCACCTGATGGCAAAGCGCCATTAACTTCAAGACAAGCATTTTTTGCATTAAAGTTATTTTGATCAATATGTATACAATAATTAGCTTGATTACTCTTTAATGAACCGCACACAATTGTTTGATTTTCAACATCAGATGTACTACTAAAATCTCCTGTTGTGATGACATTATATTGTGAAAAGTATGTTGCGCCCACTGAATTGAATGGGCATTCATTGCTTGATGTTCCACCACCCACCTGATCAGTTAGAGTCGTTAAAAGCGCCATAATTAAGGGGCAATAAACCCGTAACATTTTCGTCGTTAAATATTGATGCTACGTCAGGTAGTGCCTGCCAAGACCGTGCATAAATGATTTCTTTTTTCCCAATAAACAGATGATTCTCATTGAAAGCCATTGGCTTTTTTCAGTTTGACGTCAAAAGGAAATAAAAAATGTGCATTGAGACCATGAATGATATCTTCAGTTCAGTTCAGTCCATCTGTCGATACACTTGAATATTTTTCGTTTTCTCTTTTACTATTGATTTTATTATATATCATGAAAGAGAAAAAGGGTACTACTACGTACTTCACTTAGAGGACATATTCTGAAACATTTAGACATCCAATAGAACCATAAAAAGCTGAAGGTACAAAAATGATGTTAACATTAGATTCCTTATTCTTCTTATGTTTTAATTTCATATTGCGATCTGTCGGTAGTATATTCGACCGGCTCTACTTATAGCATGTCGTGAAAAGTCTACAGAATGTGACTATTTGATTATCAATCATAGCTGGGGAAATACAGATAATTAGAAACCATTTCCTCGTTGATCGCTGAAATCATTCTCTTATTGTCTATCTGTTTAATACAAGACTAAAAGCAATGCATTCTAGAGCACCAGATGCCCATTTGTGTCATACAGATGATACAAAATTCATTGTTTAATGCAAATCAATTTTTCCTAGCGTTTTTCTCAAAGCATCTAATTCACTTCCTTGGACAGGCATTACTATATTCGATGCGAAGAATTGGCATAGATTCCTAGAGAACAATCAATTAATTTGAAAGTAGTTTTTTAGAAAAAGGAATAAGTCTGCAGATTTATTGAAATATTGACTAGAAGTTGACTTTTTTTCTCAATTGAAAAACGACACTTACGGGGAGGAGGGTCCACTCCTCCTATATATGCCTTCAAACTTTGTCAGTTTAAAGAGCACACCTGACTACATACATCCGTAGTTCTTTCGATGAACTGTAAGTATTCCAGGAGTTATTAATTAATTCAGTTTAAATTTTAATTAGAATTAGAGTAGCTAGTTCCCACTTTGTAAAGCTGGTAGCTCGGTTAAAAATAATCATAGAAATGTCATTCTTGCATTGTTTGATAGCCAATGATTTAGTATACTTTCATGGAAAAACAATTTTGATCATCTTTTTTATGTCTGTGATTCCATAAAGCCGGATTAGTGTGATGTGGCCCATCGAACTGTACAACATATCCAAATATCCGGGGTGGACTCCGGAGGTGGACTCCGCCCTTAGTACATGAGTAAAAGAACAAAATTTATCTCATTTCGCATGTGAAAAAATTGAAGTAAAGAAAACAAAAACGTAAAAGAAGTTCCTGCGCGGAGATTCAAACTCTGTGTATAAAGATTAATAATCTTCTCCGTACGCTACAGTGCCACAAGAACACATAACTAAAAATATGTATTGTTTGTTCTGTTTTGATGAACTAGTGAATTGAACTTACTAGCCCCCGTTCCACGGTGTGTACGTTTATGCTGCCAGTTGCAACGGGTATCGAAACTCCAGAGCCCGTTTAGCTTTTGAAACGGAGGAGAAAGCTTGGAATTACGAAAAGCTACTTTTTGACCAGTATTTAATGGCTAACAGAAGTGGGATCAGTTTGGTTTGAAACCTTTTCGGTTCTGTTCGGTTCGAGCAGTTCTTGTTTGCTAAGAGGCTTGGTTCGACTTTAGCTACTTTTTGTTTGAAGGTTGAAAAAAAACATCTGAAAAAGTCAAGGGGGAAATAGCGGACTCCTGGATTCCCGTGGACTCCTATGGACTTCTATGGACTCTTGAAGTCCAGGAGTCCGCTATTTCGCCCTTGGAAAAAGTGCTACTGCGTGAAAGATAGATGACGTTTTTAATTTAGTCAGTTTAACATTCGTCTGATTAAACTCTCATATATACAAATAAGAAATCGTTTGACTCTTTCTTTATATATGCATTATCCATACCATATTGTCATGTTCAAACTAGATATGCAACGGTAACAGTAGATCACCGGTTTACTGTTACCGCTTTACCGGTTATCTTTATATAGATAGTAGCAGTTTTTAAAAAATCTAACTAAATTTTACTACTTCGGGTACGACTTTTATTTAATAAAAAAATTAACTGACACTTACCTGATGAAGGAAGCATTTTTGCGACTTGAACCTGGAACCTGATGGATAGTAAATCTTCGATCTGCTTCGTCAGATGAGGGATACACAACAGAAACTGTCACGCTTTGAATACAAAAAGCAGGAATATATTATCATCGATAAAAATTCCAGTGCACCATGTTGATAGTTTTTGGTCTACCTGCTAAAATAGTGTGTCCCAAAAGAGATCAAATTATTCGAAAAATTTTTGATTTGGTTCGGTTTCAAGAAAACACGAACCGATCCCACCTCTGATGGCTAACTCTGTGAAAACTCAAGTTTTCAAGCTTCAGTTTTTATGCGGAGCACATGTCAATATACTCTTAAAATTGTAGTTATAAAAGTTACAGTTATACAGTTAACTGTAACTGCTGCATACCTATAAGTACAATTAAACGTTCTTCTGTAGAAACTTACTAAATTTCAGTTATCTACCTTTACCACAATGTGTCACGATAAGGTCTGATGCTTCTTGTGTATTAAGCGCACGATAAACGATTTGTTCGTCAAATTTACGACGTTCACCTGCTGTAGGATCAGTTTTACTACTATGTTCAGTAGCAGGTTTCACAATATTGGCGTAATAATACATGTATGAAGGCGAGCGTGACAATTTTGAGAAAAATAATTAATACAACGCCAATATGTATTTTTCATTCGTAGAGCGGTCTTTTATAAAAAGATGCCGAGAGGCGAAAAAAATATTTAGTATTATTCGTTTTTTTGTGAAAAACGTAAAATCAAAGCCGACAATTCCATTATTTAATGCCAGTGAACGTTTAGTGGCCGTGTTCGGTATCTCGCTTCATCCAGTGAACAGATTCTCAGATTTCTGCACCCAACCATTTTTCAAACAACTGATTCCTGATTAGAAGCCACTACTCGCATATTTTTTTTACTAACAGAGCAACCTAAACAACCTTGTTTGAGAGCATTTTAGAGTTAACATGTGTACGACTGCAAACTAGAAGCGAACATTAGCAACCAAACATTCGAGGAGAAACCACTCACCTATTATCCGTTCCAGAAGTCAACGCACTCGGTTGTTTTTTAAATAACTTTTGATAGAAACAAAATGAAGACCTACGGTTTCCACCGTTTGATAGCCAAGATCCAGGACCATATTTTCACAGGCAAAATCTTTCCTAAAACCAAATCCCAAAACTGGTTTTTCAAAGAATCTCTGAAAAACCACGCTGGATTTTTGAAAACTGCCATAGGAGTCTGTTGAGTTTTTTACATGGATAGATAGCTGAGAGTATCCCCTACAAAAAACTAGATCCAAACAAAAGTTCTGTCTTGCAAGGTTTAGACAAACCAGGTAGTTTTTCCGAAGCTCTAGGACTCCCTTTTCTTTGGGTGGGCACTATTGTAAACACATGAAAACATAGGTTATCGACTATGCTCAATCCCTTGGTAGTGTTAGTTTTCAGAACAAAATGCAAGAACCGAGTGAAAACCTATACTAGGTGATATAACTCATTTTTGATTATTTTCATCAAAATTTAAAAAATTCATAACTGAGTCAAAAACCATTCAAACTACTTCGAAATTTCAGAAAACACTCTATTTTATCTGAAGTTCAATAAGTTCTCAATAATGCTCAATAAATGTTCAAAATTCTATTGCGAGGCTAATTAACAGCGATACGCTGCCATTGATCAGTGAAAGGCTGCCGCGAACAGAGAGAATTGGTCCAAGATTATTGTCGCCTACAAATCTCGATTGTTCACAGCCGAATGATGAGGATTCTTTTTGCAATTGCATAGCATAACAATACAAAAAATGACAATATAAATATGTTAACTAAACATTTAAATTAGGCGTCAATTCATGCTCTAATTTTTCTTTATGCCGTTTTTGCTTTGCTTTTAATTGAATTATTTCATTCAACGATTTGTCAATATCATAACCTTCGTAACCATGTATTTCAGATATATTTGAGGTAGGAAATAATGTTGACAATTCTTTGTCATTATTTAAGGCGAAAGATATCACTGTTGTTTGTATTTCATTGACCGAAGATGATTCATTAATTAATTGTTCAACTTCAAGTGTATCTAAACAATAAATAAAAAGTAATGAATAATCAATCTTTCTCATTTTTTCACTAACTAAAATAATGTGTATTCTGAACAGATCAATATAACTCTGCTTTTGACTATCGAAAGTAGAAAAGCAAGTTTGACTTTTCGTCTGGGAGACCAGTGTATCCTCTTCAATTAGCCTAAGCTGTGTAAAAAGTCTTGATGTTGTTTATATCAAAATTGGTGCCAGGACTTAGTCATGGGCGAGTTCGAGTCCTTAACTTAAGAACCGAGTTCGAGTCCATTTCGAGTCCGGTAATCTTTTTGATTCTTTTTTGATAAGTGTGATTTATTTTTATTTTTTAATTTACTGAGCGCTAGACAGGTATTTGATTTTTCGAAAATAAGGTTCCCAGATGAAATTTTCAATTTCTTGGGAAACACAAGGTGTTGTTATTTCGCGTTTCATTTTTCTCTGTTCATTTGTGTTAAAAGTTGAATAAATCGGACTCGAAATACAAAAACTCAAGTTCGAGCCTACGTTCTTCACAAAAATCTCCAGTCCGAGTCCAAGTCCGCCAAAAAATCTTCCAGTCCGGACTCGCCCATGCCTGCCAGGACTAAAGCTCAAAAGTAGTGTGCCAGAATCAGAAATTCATTCTCTTTCAGAATACAATTTTAAAATTTTTTTATTACTTTTCTATCATTCGCAGATGGCACAATACGAACAGACTCAAAAAATTTATCTGAACGGACAAAAAGATATTTTGCAATGTCAGAATTGGTCTTTAGTTATGATGATAAAAAGTTTAAACTATCCACGGTTATAGAGCAAATATTTCTCTATAAAACGATGTATTGAAAATATTTTTAAAAACATAAGGATAAATCATGAGACGCATTTGTGTAAAGGCTCCTTTCAACGTTTTACATGAAATGAGCAAAATTTCGATTTTTCAAAAAGTATTATTGTTTTGTACTCGAATAAATTCAATGGTTTTCTGATTGAATTTTTTTGTAACTAATGCATTTTTTAGAGAAATGTTTGTTCTACAATCTGGATTGAAACAAAATTCGTTTTTATCAAAGCTCAATTTAAAATAATTGAAATAAACAATATATCAAAAAAAATTTTCGTCCAGATAAAGTTTTTGAGTCTGTTCGTATTGAACCAAGTGTGAATTACAGAAAAGTAATAAAAAGTTTTCAAAACCGTATTCTAAAAGAGAATGAAATTCTAATTCTGGCACACTACTTTTGAGCTTTAGTTCTGATACTAATCCTGGTACAAAAAACCTTAAGATTCCTTACACAGAGATTATTTCGTTAATTTCAAACCTGAATGCTGTCTTTTCTTCTTTTTCTTTTTTTTCTCCATTTTAATGTCATCTTTGATAATCGTTTCCAGTATCTGTTGAATATCTTCAGTAGATTCCTCCATCATCGATTCATTAGTTTTATGTTTCTTCTTATTTTCTTGTTTTTCATCTTGAATATAATTTAATTCATTTTCGATAGACTGCATTGCTTGATCTGGTTCGTCATTGTGATATTTCTTATGTTTTTTTCGTTTTTGTTTTATCTCAATATCAATTATTTCTCCCTCGTCATTTTGTTTTTGCTTATCGAAATCATCACCATGTTGCTTCTCATCAACTGATTGTTGTTGTTGTTTCTGTTGCTTTGCTAGTAATACTTGTTTTGACTTTTCTTTAAAATAATCTTGAATACTTTGTTTACTTGTCACATACTGAACAAAGAAAAAAAAACAATACAGAAGGGATAATTCATGACAAATAAGCAAAGTTTGCAGTACATTTACTCAAAACCTATACAAATAGGTCTTCGAAAAGATTCAGTTTTTTGCAATCTATTGTTTTTCATCTCTGGCTATCTATATTCAGGGGTCACAGTGTACATCCAAACGGTTAAAAAGCTTTTTTATCGAGTCAAATAGTGCTAAATATACTTCAAGACATGCTCTACCTGATGGGATATAAAATTTTGTTAATAAAATTAACTAGTGTGGAAAAATGACTAATAAAAAATTAGCTAGAAAACACTGGTATCTGTGAGAAAATTAATTTCTCATAAAACTGAACAAAGTGATAGACAAACGCAATATATATTCTGAATCTGCACACCATCCGGTATCCGATACGAGTCTTGACTCGAAGTTTTTAACCTTTAGAAAAAACAGTGCACAGTTCGACAGCAGGGAAGAGAAAAGTTGCTTTTGATTATGCTCAAATATAGAGTAAACATATTCCGATAAAATGAGAGGTCGCAGATCTCCGATCGTTCTTTTGTTCATATTTTTTGTAGTAGTTTTAATAATGTCTATCTCCTAGTTTAGGCTTCGATTCATTTTATTTATTTAGCCATACGATAAGGGTATATTGTCTGAAAACAGTTGTTTACTGTAAAATACTATACCCACGTGAAGAAAATATTTATTCCATTTGTAAGAGAAGCAGCAAAAAAAAGATTTGCGAGCAGAGATAACATTCAAAACAAAGTTATTGTTTTTCTTTTTTAAGTGTCTCTTCATTGAAGTAGTGAGCAAATGAAATTACGAAAGAGCAGAATGATTATTTAAGATTTGTCATAGATATCTCAAGTGAGAGATTTTACAACGTTGAGTGATTTTAACTAGGTATGTACCAGTTCGCTTAACCGAACCGAGACAGACCGATATTCAACCGACATAATTTACCTAACATAAACTGAAGAAAATCGACATTTAGTTAAAAAACCGAAGAAATTTCTATAATAAAAATAAAATTTATAAATTTTCTGCCTTTTTTTTGCTTGCCATGAATCAGTGAATGATTCACATTAAGCGAAAACAAAGGCAAAAAATAATTTAGAAAAAGCGGAATATAATGTTATAAACATTTCTTTGATATTAACCAAATATCGATCTTTTTTGGTTTTGTTTACATGTCTAATTTCAAATTCGATTTGAAAGTACTATGGAACACAATAGACGCCCATTTTACAATTGGAAACACACATGTAAAGTAGCGGTGACGTTTTAAATTGCATGTTGCATTAGGGAAAGCGACCAATCTCACCTAGCATTTTCCGACATCTTAGCGCAGTTTTTTTCAATATGATTGTCCATTACAAGAGTTACATCAAGCAATTTCACCTTAGTGACACATTCAGTTTCACCATCGCTCCAAATGAGGTGTAGAGGGATACAGACAAAGCGGTAAGTTATCGAAAATTCAATCAACTGCATTTTTTAACATGAACTAGATTTAGATTACACCATAGTCTACCAGTATTACTTTCGCTTCTTGTTGATGTTAAATCTTACTTTGCAGATAAAGTTATATAGCAGAAAAAATCATCAGCAAACATAAACGATGTCGGAAAACGAAGACGGAAAACTGTTTTATAAATGGTAAAAAAGAATGGAACCTAAAAGGCTCAGTGTGGAACACCCAAAGTTATACGACCACGGCTTGAGAAAACATTTTTAATGATGTTAACTTGTTGAGCCCAGTTTTCTAGATAAGAGCGGAATAAAAAGATATTGCTAACAATACCGACCGGAAATCTGGTAGGATGCACGATCAAAAGCATGCGACTTCAATATCAGAACTATGCCATTGAATAAGTACAGAATTATAAACAAAACTTAACAGCACCTTGTTTTGTAGAAACAAACATGTATTCCACATTTCTACTAAGGCGGCCGCGTAGAGATGGGAGATGTCTCATTTTGATCAGGATTTCATAGACTACAATCGTGACTTATTAAGAGAAAGTCTTAGGAATTTTTCGAGATTTCTGAAAAACCACTCTATAAAGGCCTTACGCTCCGTCTCATATCGATATTCGGAATCACCGTGGTCGATAACTATCATCCACTAGGTTGGGTAAAAAAGCGATTGATCAGTTGAATATGTTTTCTTGTAAGCTCTTTCAAAACGACTGATTCGATTATCAGTTAGTACTTACATTTTTGTTTTCGTCATCTACAATAGTCGTAGCTGTGGTCTCATCATTCTGTTTAATTTGTTTCATTTTGTTCCAACCAAATATACAGTCCAGATCAGATGAACTACGCGTACTTAAATCTTTACCACCAGATTGTTTTTTATAACTAAAACAAAGTAAATAATCACTAAAATTCTCTGAAATTAAATTTAGTGGCAAAATGTTTCAGCTTCTTTTATCAAAAGAGATATAAAATATTAGAGACTTTAACTAAAGCAGTTTTACGTTTTAAAAAAAATGATAGTACTAAGCTAAATTCTTCGCAGCTATTCATTATACGCTTAATTACAAGCTTTATTTTCAATATCCCATAGTAAAATACCGAAATCTTGTTTTTGTTGCTTCTAATTTTTCAACCAAATTAGACGTATTATTACATTTTGTAGAGAGAAACGTTGTTGTTGCCGTTGAATACTGTTGCTGTAATTGTTGTAAAACATTATCAAAACCATCTTGATGATGCACCCATGTATCATCGTATTTATTCGACATATATCCAACACCTTTTAAATTATCTTTAAATGCTAATGATATATGTTCTACACGACCACTTTCATCTTTACCTCTATAAAATAGAAATATAGCGTCAGTTTATACTGAAGAATAGACCAGAGGTATAGTGCAAAAAGTTGAACACCGTGCCATATAAAAACTTTTTCCTTTTCAGTCACAAAAAAATGCTGATAGTTTAATAACTTACAAACCGACACCTTGTTTCCAACCCATCTTCTCTAACATACGTTGACCAAATTTCGATGAATCTAAAATGATATTCCACTAAAGTTAGACTGATAAACAAGATACGAGACATACCATCGGTCCATTCTGTTTTTTGATTAACGGTATAACGAATTTTTGTGCGTTTCTCGGCCAAACTAACCATAGTGAGAAGCAAAGGATAATGATCTAGAATAAATAATGTTTTCAAAATTCAGATAAAATGCTGGATTTTGAATACTAAAAAGAGATACACATTTTTTGTTTCTTCATGAGAAGTGTTACCCGCATCTCTAAACTCACGATCAAAATGGTAGACATCCAATATGATTAGTATATTATGAGTAAAGTAAAAATTTGCAGAAAACATGAAAATATATTCATACCTTTATAAAAATTAGGAAAATTTAGTTTTTCAGGACGTTTTTTTAATGAAAAATGAAAGTAATTTGTGAGTTAAATTTATTTTCTGGAAACAATATTTTTTTTAGCCTTATAGCACAATTTCAACGAACTGTACATTTACAATTTATTGATCGAACGACGCTTTCTAATGTGCAAAAAGAGTATGTGGAAAGTAGAAAAGATTACTAAACGAAAAACAGATAACTGGACATAGATTAGATGTGATTTTTTGAAAACTCGTTCCATATAACAAATCGGTTAGCCTATGGTAAACAGTTAGATGTAGGAAATTCTGTTTTAGCTGTTATATAAGAGTTGTGGTGGTGCTTCTTCCTGGAATTTATGAATATTAGTACGTGTAGTTGTTATTTTAGAACGTCTATAATTTCTACTATCTCATTCTGCTTAAAATGTGGCAATATCACAGCAAAAGTGCGACATTAGAGGCGTATTATATGTTGAATTTAGTATTTGATAGTACTATACCTTTTTTGGGATATTTGGGAACACTGTGCTATTCAGAAAAACCGTAA